ATCCTTAATATTTGATAGCTGCATAACTTTGTTTGTTCAGTTTGTTTGTTTAGTTTTCATTGTATCTTCATTTGCATTTTCTTTAGTCATATGTGATTCATATCATACCATAAATTCGTAAAAATTATAAAGTTATTAGTATGAATGTAGTGAATGTAGGTATGAATGAAGGATATGAAAAAAATCTTTTAGATTCTTGACAGGCAAGATTTATAAATAAAATATTTAATTTTTATGTAGATAGGAATAAGAAAAAACTTTTTCTTATTTAGATAGAATGGGATAGGATGTTTGAAATGTTTTAATATTTAAATTTATTTCAATATCTTTTGCGGGAACAGAAGATTACATCATAAAAAAACATTGATTGAATAATATATTTAAAATTAAGTGTATGCATAATCAAGAATGTTAATTAAGTAGATACAATGTACTGTAGACAAGTATAGAATTAATGGGCAAAATAGTATAATTAAATAGTATAATTAGATTAGCATGCTATGATGTAAAAAATACTTTATTTTTTTTTTTTTAAATTTTGATATTTTGATATTTTAGAATATATGATGTAAAGTTCTATTAGATGTTAGTATGTGATGTCTTTCTTGTTTGTGATTTACTATCTATGGTTTGAAAACAATGCAGGAAATATATTCAATTCAATCGTAAAAGTTAAATAATTTCTTTTTTATAATCAATAGATTAGTAAAAAAAAAATAATTAATTAGATATCAATATCATGTTTTAAATGCATGAATTTTAAATATAAATGAGAACAAATAATAGGAAAAGGATAGAGATAAAATAAGAATTGATTATTAGCGCTATCTTTTTGGTATTGGAGACATTTTCAAAAGAATTCAAAAAATGGCACTGATCTTCAGTTCTATCATAGAATCTCTGTAATACTACTTTATCCTACCTTTAAAATAATATCTTTAACACTTAAAAGATGGCGCTGACAATCAATTCTATCTCTATCTTCCTCCTATTATTTACAATCCTTTTCTATATTTCATCTACAGTTTTCTAGAGATGGCGCTGATTACTATATTTTTGTCCTTTTTGTCCTTTTGTCCTTCTTTGCTCTTCTTGTTTATATGTGATTAATTATAATAATTAAATAATTAATACATGAATAATTTAATAAATATATAAATAAATAAATAGTTGAATAAAAAAAATAAATAAATTGATAAATAAATAAAAAAATAAAAAAGAATATTATAAGAGAAGTTTTAGTTTTCAAAAATATGTTAATTTCTTATTATTAAATATAGATTTCTTTGAATTAGTTTAGAATTTTTAGAAATATTTTAATAATATAATCAATTGAGTATAAAGAATAACATTTATTTGGGTTCAAAAAGGGTTTGAAAAAATAATTACAGAAATAATTGATTGCCACGTTATAATAATTTATTTAAACATTTATACACCTATGATGTTCCACAGTCTTGAAAGTAGTTGCTAACCGATATATATGTATATGTATGTATATACATTCACATACACACATACAAACACATATGTATATACACATATACGCGCAGTACATGTATACATAGATAGATCGTTCTCGTAAATACATATAATATGTATACATATATAAATTTATTTTTCATTTACTTCGTTTCAATTTATTTATAAGTTATACCCATTTCGTTTACCGCCTAGATAAAGCATTCTCGAAACTTAAGAAATTAATCAATGATTATTACGCTATCCTGTATACGTTTGCACAATTTACGACCGCATTTTCGACGTTATATATTCTTTACAATGATTACTGTCGATTATTTTAGGTACGCAGAAGTGCATGGGTTTTATCTTTGAAACATTCTTCTTTGAGAAATTCGTTTCATTGCTTTGCGTTTCTCAATTTCTCTACACGTTCTTTTCATTTATTTACTTATTTATTTATTTATTTATTTATTTATTTATTTATTTATTCTCTCTTCATCATTTTTTAAAAAGTTATTTGGAAGCTAAGAGACATTTAATTTAATTTACACGGGCTTCCTATTTTATCACCTATTATATCGTCGGTCTATTTTTCCTTAAATTATACAGATTTTACGTGAATCATGCGATACGTTGGACACGTGCTGTGGAAAATCGCATATGGACAATCGCAATCTTTGAACTTAAGCTATAATCGTAGAAATATCAACGTAAATTAAAAATGTATATCGTGTTATAAAGGTTGTGCTATTCTAATTTATTTGTCTTGTAATTTTTCGCTTTCTATTTTTTTTTTTTTTTATTGATATACGAATATTAGCTCAAGCTTCGAATTTTGAAAAAAAAAAAAAAGACTCGATTATTGTGTTCTTTAATCTTTTTTACTTTCTCGTTTCTTCGTGAGAAAAAGATATATTTATTTTTCTCTTTTCATTAATAAAGATCAAAGTATTGGTATATTCTTCGTTTATATTATATCACAAGTTTAATACCGTAAGTTTCGTCGTAAACGTGTTATATTCTTTTTTTATTAACATACAATGTGTAGATATAAAATTTTTAGATAGTTTCGTAATATAACATCATAAGATTCAAATTTCTTTACAGCCACTGAAGTAATCACAATTGAAAACAGAAATCTTATACGTTTGATTATTTTAGAGTATAAAATAAAATTTGATAGATAAATATCATTTTTATAGAACGCGACTCAATCTTGTTTTCTTCATCAACATATTACAAGATATATTTCCTAAACAATTAGATTAATATTTAAAAAAATTTTTTATCGAATTTATTTTTAAAAAATTAAATTAATATTTATAAACGAAATAAAATATCTTGTATCAAACATTCCATTTGTTCTCACTGTTTCATCAAAGGTATACGAATATGAATATTTATTTACTATATGTATCAAAATATACGATAACAAGTTTAGGAAATATATATTTTTCAAGTTTGAAGTTTATATAAGTTGGTATCAATCTCATTGTAGAGAAATATCTGTGTTCGAGTTCTTATATGCAAATGACATTTATCTTTTATCTTGATCAATGCAGAGAGTTTATTACGAAACGATGGCCGATTTTTTTAATGATATGCATCGATTTCTTACGCGAAACGAAATGGCAACATTTTTAAAACCAAGTATCGCAATAAATTAATTAGAAACACAGTCTTGATGAATACTAACAACGTTTATAATTTAACCGATTATAGTATTATTTCATATCTCGTTATTAAATAAGTTAAACATAGCAACGAATCAAATATATAGAATTTATTATAAACATCTAAAATAAAGTTCCATAATAATAATATTTAGCGAAAATAAATAAAAATATACGTTAAATTCGTATTGCAATGAATAAAAATGATAACGATAGGAAATATTAAATTATATTACTCGAACACATAAATTTACAAATAATCACGTTAAATTACTTTACGATATATCGCGTTTTTCTTTCTTGGATAGTATATTTAATCAATATACATATTTTTTTTATCTAATAGTGGCAAATTTCGTTACTCAATATTTAATTTTATTTACGATATCTAGTGAATTAAATATGCGATAATAATATCATTAGTAGAGATTTTCATTACAATTGTTACTGACAAGATCATATTTTTATAATACATAATAATCGTACAGATAGATAATTGGAATAAAGTTAAAAGAATTAACATAATAAACATAGTAAAATATTCGAACGTTTTTTGAAGTACACCACTGATTGAAGTGACCTACATTTTTCACTCTTTATAAATTATGTTATGAACAAATACGCTAATTTCCTAAATTCACGAAATAGTTTTTTCTCCGACAATGAATTAACGAATGATATAATTTTTTCGAATAAGACAAAACTATTTCTTTAAGAGGTTGATAACACTTTAACAATTGTCGTTTTCATTGTCAAATGGAATCACAAGAAATTTTGAATATTTCAAAATTATCAACATAAAGTCCCCCGAAAGAGGCGAGTATAAAATCTCTTCTCCATCAAAAAATTAAAAATTAGATATATGCTAAAGAAAAATTTAAAATCGAATTTTCATTGATAATTTTCTTCTTCTTTCGCAATGTTGATCACAACTTAATCGAAAGAGAAACGTTAGTAGGTTGTCTTTATTGTCCCTTGCTCGACATTACCGTATGTTGTCTTTCTCTTATTTCGATCGTCTTCGGCGCTCGAATCCTCTTGCCGAGAAAAGTTTCGAGCAGACTCTTAAAGCCGCGTTTACATTGGGCAACTTTCGAACAATCGGATAGATTGATCTTAAATCGATCAAAATTGTTCTTTCGAACGAAATATTAATTAATAATCGAAATAATTTTTAATCCTTCAATTACCAATTATTCAAAAGTCTTTCGATTAAAAGACTGCGTTTACATGAAATAATTTTTAACCGATCCAAAGCCATTTATTTTACCCAATTAAAATTTAATTTGTTCCGGTTGCTCGATTAAAAGTTGTTTAAAGCAACTTTCCTCTCGAATAATAATAAATTAAGTTAGATGAAAGAATATAATTAATATTTGTAAAGAAAGGGATATTTATTTATAATAATATTTATTATATTTTTTTGAATTAAATTTCGATAAATCATAGATCGATTCTTTTGTCAAAAGTTGTCTAACGTAAACGCTGCTTAAAGTAATTCTAATGCAATATGTTCGCGAGTTATACATTAAATCGATATCGAAATAATAATTACGGCAGACATATCAAGGTGACGTTTAATTTTTGGTTCGCACAATGTACTACTGTTAGAATAGTCTAAAGCTCTACTAATAGAATAATTTATGTATATTAAATTTATATTATATACGTTATGTATAATACAGGAACTATATTATCGCATACAATTGCATTTCCATCTAAAAACGATTTCAAACGTTCACAGGTAATAGACATTCGATATTTGGAACCGAATGTCACGAATATCTCGTTCGCGTTCTTCTTTTTTTTTTCTTTTTCTTTTTCTTTTTTTTTTAAATCGTTCGTTTCGGTGCATTTACATAGTTTTTCTTTTTTTTTTTTTTTTTTTTTTTACTTTTCTGCACCTTGCTTCTAGCGACGATAGACAGATCTCATCTGATAAATACGGTCCATTCCGGTTCGCGTAGCCTCGAAATAGGCGAACAGAATACATGAGACAAAGGCTGGATAGAAATATCCAATACCGAATTGCACAAGTAGTCTCGCGTAAATGTCGAAATGAGTATAAATTTATTGCCATTCGGATTTGTAATGTCATCGCACATGTCACCACGCAAGAATGAAATTATCCGGCCGGAATTTCTTTTTCTTTTTTTCTTTTTTTCTTTTTTTTTTATTTCGTGATTGGTTTCATGTATTCGGATTGCAACAATAGAGGTATCATAGGTTCCCGCTTATTCTTCGAAGAATTAAAATAATTTTTATACTCGTATTGATCAGAAAATCAACGAAATTGAGTATTGCGTTTTCTCAAAATTTTAAAATTAATTAATTTGAATTATAATATTTGAATATCGCAAATATAATCAACGTGTTAATTATATTAAAGTTAATTATATTAAAGATACGGAATTTTTAAAATGTTGCAAATGATCAATTAGTGCATTACGAAAATTTGTTTCGGAACAATAGAAATAAATGCCGAGTTGTTTATTTACAAATTATATTCGAATTTTAAATATCGCGATTGACTATACAATTATGTATTGTAGGAACAATTATTCGAATAACATTAGTGCAATTTCAAAATATTACATAACATAAAATTCTCTAAATAAAGAAATATAAACGAATCTTAAACATGGTGGATAAATAGAGAATTATTTATTACAAAAATCCTATTCAAATATTACGAATAGAAATTGTGAATATCGTAATGCTAAATATTTATCGATACGAATAGTTTTTTCGTGAAAATTTCTTTTTTTTTTGTTTTTTTTTTGAGAGAGACGTCTCGTTATTATTAACAGATAAATAAAGGGCATTGGAACAGCGTAAAGGAGACCGTTCGAGACGCCAAAGAAACGCGTTTCCTTGTAAAATATCTCAGAAATAATTGTATCTCCTTTTTAAGCGAGAATTGGCGTTATTGCAAAGTAATTCCAATCTTGTATTTTTACAATGCGGGGTGTCGCGACGTATCCCCGTTTCTTGGAACACTTTTGCGGCTGTCAGGAACGTTAATTGTTTCGCGTGGATGGTAGGCCATGGAGAAGTTTGCATTCCGCAAAATCAGACCCATGGGACAGAGTTTGTCGAGCAAAGAAAAGAATAAAATAAAGATGGGTAGATAAATCACGTTCTCTATAAATAATAAAATATACAATTCTCTACAAACACTTTCGTCCGAACAAATTGCACAAAATTTTATGAACATTTTCTCTCTCTCTCTCTCTCTCTCTCTCCCTCTTTTTAAATTTCTTTCTAACATAATAACGAAAACTTTATACAAAAATTGAACTTTCGTTAATAAATAATAATAGAGGAAACATTAACGAATAAAAAAAAAGACTTAACTTAAACTTCTCGAACCAATTGTTGTATAATAAAATAGTTAAAAATTCATTGCAATTGTTTCTTTTTTTTTCTTTCTCTCTCTCTCTCTCTCTCTCTCTTTCTCTTTCTCGAAAATGCTTTTTCCGGAAAATTATTTACAATTCGTTCAAAGATATAATATTTCTTATCCTTGACATACTTTTACGTTACTACTTTGATAGGGGAATAAATGAAGTAAGTGCTACTCGAGATGCCAAGAATTCTTCATCTCATGGCTTCGATAATATCTTAAAATTGCAAAACATCCAATTTAATTTCAACCAGCAGTATCATATTTCACGAAAATCATATGACACGATCACGCGTAAGACAAATTAATAAATGATCGACAAAGTGGGCTCTTATCATTCCCCTATAAATTATCTCATTCCTGAATTTTCCAGTTCCACGATTTTTCCATCTACAGAATCAGTGCAATAATCGATAATTTATTCGATCGTGTAGGTGAGAGGTGACACGTGTAAAGCGGTTGACAACGTATGAGAGGAAAAATGTGAGATACGTGATCATAAACCAATAAAATGTGTGCGAATAAGCGGAGCTGTTAACGCAGGCCGTAAAGCTAACATAAATTAAGTACGAATATTATGGGAATTCTACTGGCGCCAGACTGGAGGCATTGGAACGATCGAAAATGTAACGGGCTGATATCGAAGATATGGACTGTGTAATATTGTACGCGCATTTAAGAAAGCGTAATTTAAACGTTGCGTTCGTTCAGAGTGCCATTTTTGAGCGCAAACTTTCCTCGTCGAGGCGGGTGAAATTCTTGGTACACGATATTAAGAATGACACGTTGCTTACACGTGAAATTTCGATTTAGTTATTATATTATTTCTGTTTTCGTTGAATGAAAATATTGACGATTTAGTGAATGATAGTTAGATTAATTAAATTCTGGAAGATATACCTAAATATTTGGAATTTTTATATTTTTCACGACGAAAGTTTCATTTCTAATGTTTTCTTCTTAATTTCATTAAGATTGAAAACATATAAATTTTGTAAAGATCAATTTTTAAATAAGAAATTATAGGTTTGATTATTGATAATTATCTAAATTTCGTAATTTTTTTATACACGAATATATGAATAATATATTCTAGGGTTAATGAAAAAATAAATATAATTAAAAAAATGAATTTAATCGAAAAATTATTAGTTTCTGTTTATTAATACGAGAAAATTATTTAATGAATATTCCAGGAAAAAAATTAAATTTTATATCTAATTTTTGATTATTGATTCATTATTATAAAACAAAATAATAATATGTAAAGCATTTGTAATATAAATAATTTTTAACAAATGCTTTTTCAGAGTTAATATTGATCTAACTCTCTCTATTTTGCTGATTTTCTAGCTATTTACCTTCGTCGCGTAAGGTTGAATAATACTGATTCATATAGAATTAATCTGTCTGGTTTCAAACGAAAGAAACTGTCGATTACTATTTTTCATAAAAAACATTTTCACTCGTGAAAAATTTAAGCTAAATCTTAAAATGATGGAACTTTCTTTGTTAATTTTTCGTAATTAAAAATCTTTCGTTCCAAGATGTTCGATTCCCGTGTAAAAATATTTTACATTTTGTGAAATAACATGATTAGTCAAAAAGAACAGGCACACTTACTCAAAGAAATAACAAAAAAAAAAGAAATAATAAAATGATAAATTCCGCAAAATAATATGTACAAAAAAATTTACAATAAATAAATAAATAATACTTTAAAACTTTAACATTTTATCATGGAAGGAGAATATTTTCACCTGTTCTTTTTCTCATTAAATCAAAATTTTTTCCAAAGTAAAATCCATTAATACATTGCGTACAGCCTCGTTTCACAGATTTATCGTCAATTCCATAAAGCTTCTTTAAATTCATTATCGGTTTTTCAGTCTTTCTCTTTTCTTCAAAAATTTCTTTCGTCGTTTATTTTCTCATTTTCCTTCTCAAGGATGCAATTTTATTGAAAAATTCTTTTTTCTAGTGACCACTTTACGACTAGCTGGCGAGTTATCGTATACAGACAAATATTTTACATTACTTAACGTCTTCGCATATACAATGGCTTACGATTATATGTTCAGTTTCGACATTTAAAATGTTATTCAATCATTGAACCATTGACTTTCTTTCGAATGACGTCTTTGGTCGTATTCAAATTTCATTTTCATAATAAAATTCGTGTAACGTCAGCATGTGATGATACAACATAAGCGTAATTTCGCGATTCGATCTTAATATTCTATTATTAAAAGCTATACGCAATGTATTAATTAAGAAACAGCGTTTTGATGAAGTATAATTGGTAAGTTGATTGGAAAATTTTACTACTAAATTTTACTATTATTAATTGATGATGTTCATATTTTCAAATTTATATTTTTATAAAGATGAAAAAATATATAAATAAAAACTTTTTTCTAAATTTTAAATATTGTATATTGCAAAGAATATTTTATTTTACTAATAATATTTTTGAATATATGTATAAACATTTAATTTACCATGATTTATTTAGCAAACTTAATTATTCTTAAATTAAAGAAAAAAAAATATTTTTAAAATGTATATTGTATATATATTTTTATAATGTACATGCATACATATTTCTCAAAAGAAATTTTCTTAATAATTGTTTATTCGTTCATCAAAAAGTTTTGAGAAAAATAAATTATGAAACTTTCCAATCAACTAATAATTTCGATAATGGGACGATCAGGTCAAGTTCGATAATGATCAGATCTGCGACTATCACTTAAGTTTCATATTAGTTCTGCGTTTTCCATTCCATTGAGCCCTAAAAATGATCTACTCTTGAACGACATTTAACGATTATGAACATGAATTGATTGAGTCGAAAATTCTTCGAAATATACGAATGACTGCATCGACGTTCATTAACACTTTCGCGATTAATTTATCACGATTGAACAGGACACGAAATAGATAACGTTAGATAGAATATCAGGAGCCAGTGCAATTGTATGGCTGTGATTTGTTAAGTTTGATTATTCATGATATACGAGTTAAAGAGTATTTCGATTAGTGAATGAATCGCTAGCTTAGTTAACTTTATTGTTTTTTCCTTTTTATAGTATCTGATGAGAGACTCTTACGTTACGAAATAATGCAAGCATAATGTAAACTATATGTACAGAAATTTCTATTAAATAGTATGTGTATCGTGTATCTAAAACATACGTGAAATACTGTACACGTGAAATAACGTGTAAAATAACGTATATTTATACATACTATTTCACGTGCTTCACGTGTATAATTACTGTCTTGATATAATAGTATGTATTTTACGTGTTGGCAATCAAACTTCATATTACACTGTGTACATGTTATCCTGTTAAGAGAAACGAAAGAAGAATAAAATTGGTGTTATGTTGAAGTTCAACACGATTCTCCAATCTCTCTCTCTCTCTCTCTCTCTCTCTCTCTCTCTCTTTCTTTCAAACACACTCACATACACACACACACACATACGCACAGATTTCGTTTATTCGTATTATTTCGAACAATAAATTAATTAACATTGTAATAAATTAATACAAAAGAAAGAACACTGTGGTATATTATCGATTAAAACTAATTCGAATAAAAATATAATGCTAGAAGAAAGATAGAAGAAAGAAAAGAGACGACGAAAGAATACTTACAGCAATTTACAACTTATAATTCATAGACTAACTATGCCTAACTTTTATGGACATTTCATGTGATACACCAAGATTTATTGTACTCTTAAAATATCAGAAAATCGAATTTATGAACGTTGTTACTTCTAAAATACTTTTTTTTTTTTTTATACAAGGAATACAATGATAATTGATGAGACTATTAACTCTTTAATGCTCATAAATGAAAATTCTGTTATGAATTATATATTTATAAAAGACGAAGAAATTTAGGATTATATTAGTATTTTTTTCAAGTCTCATATTATAAAATATATCTAATCACTTAAAGATATTATAATTACATTATAAAAAGGAAATTTCATTGTATACGCGAGATGGCAGTTCTTTTTTGTTTCAATTGATTCACAAATAAATACAAATAAAATAATTGAAATACAAAAGAAATTCTAAACTCGTTTCACTTATTATCCAATTTTTATTTTTTATTTTTTTTATAAATAATACCCGATCAATTTTCCCAGTTAGAAAAATTTGGCCGATTAATTAATAATTAATAATTCTCAAATATTTAAAATAATAAACTGCGTTAAAACAAAAAAAAAAAAAAAATAACGATAATACAATTCTCAAAGAACTTAAAGAGTTAAAAGTTCTCTCTAAAAGAGTTAAAAGATCGATTCGAAAGATCAATTTTAAATAATTAACTAATTTAATTTCACAAATTCGTGAAACGTATATGTACATCGAAACAATAGATACAAACCTGCTTAAATGGCTCCTGGTAGGTAGCAAACGCGACACGTTACCCTCATGTAACACGCGTTTATCGCGTGCTTCGATCACGAAAGTGTTAATTAGTCTCGATTCGTTGGCTTTCCGCTTCCTTCTGAGATGAAAAACAGAATAAAATAAAATAAAACGAGAGAAGAAGTGGAGGTGGGGGGGGGGGGAGGGATGAGGAGGAAGAATAATGTCGCCTAATGCGCGAACGAACCTGCGAAACCTCGAAATCCTCCCGAAAAACGGAGAAAAGAATACTGATCTGCCCTTAATCTATACATATCCGGCACGAATATCTCGCCATCCTCGAGATTTAATGACGTTCCAAAATTGCGTGTCACCTTTCGAAAAGAGGAAGCACAAAGAAAACGTGTCCGCCCTCCGTCGTTCCTCCAAGTTCCCCGGAAGCTACGACCGGGGAAATTCACACGTGGCAATTCTCGCGTGACATTTCCCTAATACGATCTATTATCTAGATCAAACCTTACAACACGAAACTTAATCCATATAATAATCGCGCAACTCTAACCTAACCTAACGAACAGTTTCATAATTTAATTTCCTCCAATTTCGCGTTTGGAATTTAATATAATTATTATCGTAATTATCCTCTCCGATCGTTCTTCCCTGATCAGAAAGATCAGAAGATCGATGATAAGTATAGATAATATCAATACGCGTTTCCTCCGCGACACCAATCCGCGTGGTTCCTTGGCCTAGTAGCGAGCACCTACGGAGAAAATGTACGACTCGTGTGTCGCGTCGGTCACACAGGATCGACCGATCGATCGATCGATCGCGGGCTACGACAACGCCAAAGAGCGATGGGTCTGGCCGTTGTACGATAGGGAATCCGTGTCCTCGAATCTCGCGTCCTCGTCCGCCAGATCGACGCCATAGTTGCTCGAGGTGTTGTCCTCCTCTGTAACAAAGGGGCAAAGCAAAAGGGTGGTTATTAAATTAAAATCTTGTTGTGGATTGAGCTCCGCCTCGATTCGATATCTGCCCGCGAAATTCGATCGTTATCTTCGATTCGATGAGAATTCGAAACGAATCGTGGATCGGATAAGTGTTACGTGAGATTTTTTTCTCTTGGATTTTTTCATCCTTTCTTTCTTCTTCTTCTTCCTTTTTTATTCTTTTTTCTTCTTCTTCTTCTTCTTCTTCTTCTTCTGATTCTGCGCGTACGGTTACGGTTGATTTGTTGTATCGTGGGCGATAATGAATGCCGTTAAACTGGTTATCACGTATGATTTTATGCGTTTCTTCTCTTCTTCTCCTTCTGATCGTTATTATCGTGCTTGTTGATCGATGACGTGACACGTGAGCGGACGAGAAATTGAATTGTAAATGACACGCGAGAGTTAATTCATCTTTGCTTTCTACCATATGGTTATGGACGAATGGATAAGCGATATGGCGGTAGGGTAAAAGAGAAGATATATATATAAGTACGTAGAATAATTGTATAATATTTTTCGTTGGTAGTTTCACACGATTTAAGTTATTTAATTTAATCTAATATTGGTATGATGCAAAGATAAAATTTTAATTAGTTTTACGTGATATTGAACTGATCGATACATTATTAATTATGATTCCTATTGTAGTTAATCTTTTTAGTTGCTAGCCTTTTCGTACATCTGCCACATCTATTTTTAATCTTAGTTTTTAATAATAAATTTGTAAATTGAAATGTATCAAAGTATTTATATAGAATATTTATCAGTTTAAAAGATACTTTGATTTTAAACAAATTTTAAAATATGAATGATTTCCTTGCCTTTTAAAAATATTTTTTAAAATAACGAATTGTCGAAATAAATATATATAGTAAATGAATTTTGATAGATTGATAAAGAAAAATAAGTTTAAAAATTTTTAAATCATTCCATTTGCATCAAACGTATACTCGAAATCATTTTAATCATATCCTATGAAATTTTATTCTATCGTTTTAGAATATGGCTAGATACAATTTACACGAAACATTCTCTTATTATGGCTCTTTTCAAAGAAACCGCGTTTAAAGTTTTATTTGAGAAAATAACATTTCACGTGCACCAATCTAATAATATGAGTCGACGTAACACACAATAAATATTAAATCTCTTTCCTTTCGACTTACTTTTAGACTTACTTTCATTCACAATGTAGAATACGATATAGAATAATATATAAATATATATATATTAATATAAGAATAAAAAAAATTGAAAGTGATTTCGCTGTTGCACACAGAGGAGAGAATAATATATGGCACAATACAACTTCGATAAATATTTTACGTGTAGATCGACAGTTCAAACGAGCCACGTTCCACGCGTTATTCATCATCGATATTATTCACTGTCGTTCAATAAAAATTTCAACACCGAATGCGTGTCACGAAGTTGAATTTATCTACACTCGACCTAACAAAACCCAAACGCTGCACCGTTACTTCGTCTTTATGGTTTGCTGCGTAAAGACAATGCAAATTATTCAAAAGCTTCTGTTCACGATCTCTTTTAGAATTTGCGTAACAGTGAACCCGTCATTGTATTATTTCCTGATGTAATTGCGATATATATATATGTACGAGGATTTGCGGCATGAAAGAAACTCTCGTTTAACTGCGCCCATTATAATTTAGAGAAAGGAGCTTATACTCTATGCGTTATTGTGCGAGAGAACAATTATTGAAAATAATAAACGCGTGAAAAATATGATATACGGGAATAGAATGTAGGAAACTGTCGTCGTTACGTAAATTTATTTGTTTATTTTCACTGTAACTGCAAAATATGATGTGCGATACGATAAATGTACAAAGTTATAATCGTTATAAAAAAATTTTAAGCGTTACAATATAATTTCACTTGTTTATTTTATTATACAATTGTGCGAGAATGAGCTTAAGATACTTGGGCTCTCTATTATCCATTTAATAGTCATAAATAAATTCTATATTCTTGCACATATTATTGCGAATAATGCAATTATATGCAAATTTCAAATTGAATAATTTCTGATTCAACAATTATTATATAGGAATATGTTTTATTCGTTCTTTAATAACATAATAAACGGGGGGAAAATTATTTTATTTATTTATATATATATTTATATATTATTTATATATTATTTATTTATTTATATAGTTTATAATAGTTTGCAGTAAAAACACGTTTCTTGTATTTTGATGCAAGGAGCTGATGATCTTACATTATTGGAATATATTTTAATTACTTAGAATGTGATATACGAGATATCATTGACAATTTTATCCTCATCATCAAAAATTATTTTATTATATCGATAGTTTATAATAGTTTGCAATAAAAACACGTTTCTTGTATTTTGATGCAAGGAGGTGATGATCTTACATTATTGGAATATATATTTTAATTACTTAGAATGTGATATACGAGATATCATTGACAATTTTATCGTCATCATCAAGTAATTCTATTTATTCTGTTTATTATTACGATTATTTGTTGATTACGAAATTCATGATACGATAAACGATAATAAAATATCATTGGTGTAGAAATATCTTTCTTACTACATTCATCTGCATGTCTATTCTATTTAATATAATTTTTAATCATTCCGAACTTGTTAATAACGGGTACAAAAATATCGTGGCGCAAGAGATTATAAATAGATATTGGCAATATTAACGAGATCGTGATCGAAGTAAAATAAGTTTATACTAGTGGCAATTCCAGAAGCTGATATAAGCTTTATTGATATCGTAGATGTGGTAAATAGAGCATGCCACGAGTTCGATAAATTCTATCGCGATTTAAAAAAATCTTGGGTCGTATTTGAGATAAAAGTCGGAATAATTCACGATGCAAGGAAGCTGATGCGTAAACTCTCCCGTTTATGCGCGACATGCAACAGGTTTCTACGTCTACGACTCAAATGTCTACACATACGCGCGTGGACAAAAGCATTTTATCGACAGAAACAAATGAAAGAATTGTTTTAAAAGCTTCCTTTCTTTCTCTCTCCCTTTTTTTAACATAATTTACAGACACGTTCAAAATAATAATAAAATCTGAATTTTAGTATTATATAAAACTAGAAAATAAAATTATTCGATGAATAACTTTCTTTCTCGCAAAATTAAAAAAAAAATATCAATATCGTCCATTCAATTTTAAAAAACTCAAAGTTGATTATTGAGTTTTTTCATTTAAAAATATATTATTCTATATATATATACTAATTTTTATTAAAAAAAAAAAAAAAAAAAAAGAACATGCAAGAGAATTGTATAGAAATTATATAGAAAAGGCCACGCTTCGTTGCTTTTAGTGACCTTGAAATATATTTGTCAGGAATAATATTCTGAACAACTTTTCCTTATACGTATAACCGTCACTTCGTATCATACTTTATATTTTCAGACTGCGTTCGAGGTAGGTAATAAATAAATTTTTGAAAACCGGACACCGAATTTGAACGTAAGAAAATACGTTTAAAAAAAGTAAAAAGTGACAAGAGCGAGTTGGATAATATTTTTTGAAGGGTCCGATCACATATTCATGTTTCGACCTGTGTCGTGACTGTCATTCCTCATGCATATGAATTTTTTTTAACCATTTTATTGTAACACGCCAGCAAAAATAGTCTTAAATAACCTTGAAAGAAAATACTGTAAAAAATCCATACTGTCATAAATTTTTAACTGGATATTTTTTAATTATTTTAAATCTAATTTGAAATATACAATCCAATTTTGACCCAAATCGTTTTACAAAGCATCCAATAATTAGAATAGATCAAACTTGCCTCGATCGTCGTAAATCCAACCTAACCTAAACGAAATCCTAAATTAAACTTTTCAAAAATATATATATTATAGTTATACACAGATTATTAAGTAATTTTACATATAATTCTTAAAGCTGAGACTGAATACCAATTATAATTATAATATAATTATATAGTATAAAGAAAAGCTGTCGTTTTTTCTTCAATAAAATGAAACTCGAAGATTTTAATTCCTTCTTCGAGTTAACAAAATTTAACTGCACTTCGAGAAAATATCATCGTACAGAATTAAATTAGATTAGATTTCTTGAATTTCTATAGAAACTTTTATCGAGATATTTAAAAAAAAAAACCACCAATGTATACCAATATATTATTGAAGGGAGATTGAAAAAGGAACGAAAACAGTTGGTACAAACAAATATAATAAAAGTTTCATAAAAAATTGGTCGAGTTACCCCTGCCGATTTCCATGTTGTAACAAGAACGATAGGAAGCGTAGCGTTGCGAGAAACGCGAGAGTGCACGCGAGAGAGGAAGGCATCGGCAAGCGGAACTCTAGAATTCCACGGCTAGCTCTCCTCTGGGTTTTCGCGATTGACTGTGTTTAACGGGCGAGACAAGCGAGCGCGTGGGCGCGTATATTCTCAGAGGCGACTCGAACAAGGCGAATTCCACGCTGGATTACGACGATCGCTTGCTTCACAGACGGCTCGTGAATGGCCCACGCCTCCGAGAGAAATAGATAAATGACCAGACGCGTATTCCGCTTTATCACGGCATGGGAAACGCGGCCCCTCGACATCGGCGATCCCTTGCTAAATGCGAAATGAAATCGGAATGGAAGTGTCGACCGCCAAGCTGTTACTGTCTATGCACGCCGAGAAGAGTTTCGTTCCCTCTCGATGAAAAACGTGTTGACGCTCTTTTAGCATTCTACTTTTTTCTTTCTTTTTTTTTTTTTTTTTTTTTCTTTTTAATCGTTTCTTCTCCTCTTCTTATATCTCTTTACTTTTTGCTTCATCCGTTTTTATTCTGTTTCTCTTTCGTCGATTTATTCTTTCCGAGCCGCTCTGATTTGTGAACTGCGAATGTTTATGTAAATTTATATTTTTAACAAACACGATTATATTGTTGGCTGCCAACATCAATTACGCTTAGTTACTGGGAGTGTACTCGAGGTTGACAGTTAAGGTGTTAAAGAAATAGGATCGAGATAAAGGCTTGTTTTATCGTAGAAATGGTATGACCAGTATTTTACGTTGAATGTTTTTTTTATATATTTGTTTGGTAGATTTTTCTTGCACATTTTTCATAGATACACAAATATCTGTAGATTATTGATTGGAAGATATTCTTTTAATTTTGTTGATTGCTTGATGATTTTTTTCATTTTCTCTTATTCGTTATGTTTTCTCAGATAGAATATTAGTAAATTTGAATTCCATGCATACTTTTATTCGTATAATAGAATCCCAATTCAAATTTCAAATTCAAAAATAACTTTTTAGAAAATTTAAAATTTTCTAAAATTGAATTGGTCATTTCAATTACGTAGAAATATTTCAATTTTTTAAAAACATATAAACGTTGTAAATAATAAATTTTTCTTGATTGTTCAATGTTATATTAATATACATAATATGTATATAGTATATTTTTTTAATTAAGTAATTAATTTAATTAGAAATTTTAAAAAATTGAAATAATAACAAACGTATTAATTTTCGTAAATGTTTCTCATATAATATAATAAGAAATTTATTATTATTTATTGCAACATTTAGTTACAAAAAATATTTACTTACATCTTATTTTCGTATTTTTCTCCTGATCTAGATTTCATCTTTGCATATATCAGATTTTTATAATTATATAAAACCATTACTAAAACGATAATGAAATATGATATAATTAATCCTAATTAATTTAAATGTTGCAATAAATACGATGTTATGCAAATAATTTTTGCAATCATACTGTAATAATTTCGATCGATTTCATTAATAATTTTGAAACGAAAACAAACGAAAAGAAAAGAGAAAAGCAAAAACAGATAATAATAATGTACAAAATAGGAAAAAGAATCGTGCAAACCGATCGAGAATATTCGAATATTCGTATACGTGCTCAGCATCGAGCAAGACTACTCGAATACAGAGATAATTTCAATAGACTACGGCCGGAACAACAGTATTTTCATTGACCAGTAAACGCGTGTTATCTACGTAATCGCGTGTCGAGGACTTACCGATATAGAGAGGAGAGGTGTCGTAGGCGTTGCAGGGGCCGGCGTGTCGCGTCTCGAGGACGAAGCCGGTAACGCAGGCGTCCTTGACGATGTGACACCAGCTTGGATAGGTGATATTGTTGGTGGCGCACAACATGGTCGCCGATGGGTCTCGATCACGGTGTGTCCGGTTCCGGACGCGCTCCCTCTTCCGGGGACAACGATAGGTGCAGGTCACGCAACGTGGCCGGCCCGACTTCATCTCCGACAGACACGTCTGCCCCTCGCGACAACGAATCGTGGTACAGTCTGCGTTCTCTGCAAAGGAAGAAAGAAGAAGAGAGTGGTCAGCTCGAATCTTTTTTGGAAATTATTTTATTGATTTATAGACTTGATTTATAGATTATTGATTTACAGATTTGAACAATCGTGTAATAAGTTTATAATAGAAATTTGGGTGGGAATATTAATTATTCATTTGGTGAAAGAAATGTCATATTTTTGATGAAAAATGAATAAATCAGAGTGTTTATGAACAATTGTATATTCTTGTATAAGAGAAATTTATTTTCTCTCGTTTTTTTCTTTTTGTAATAGAGAAGAAATTTGAAGCAATAGGAACTTCTTGTGTCAAAAATTGTTTAAATGCGAATTTTTTAATATACATCTTTAAATGTTAAAAATGTTTCTATTAATTAGGTTTGTGTAATGGAAATGATTGAATAGGTTAATGATATTTTTAGTCAAGAAAAAAATATATAATTATTGTAAAATCGGGGGACAGAAGAAAGAATATTTTAATAAAATAAAATTTCCACATAAGAGGAAAAGAATCATAATTATGTAAGGAGATTACAGATCTTTAAGCGAGTATGAAAATTTTAATTGTGCGAAAGTTTCAATAATATCAAAAATAAAATTTAAATTATTTAGAAGAGAATTTTCAACTTTTCAAATTATCGAACGAAGCAAATCTTTTATGATATGAATTTGCATAAATATTCTTAATCCATCTGATTAAGATCGATGTGTTTGACACTTGAGTTTATTTTAGCGAATAAAACGGTACATCTTTCGGTGTTTCACAATTTTTCAGACAAGATGAGATTATAGATATGCGATGTATGCTTATGAGCCCGGGGATGTGTATTTTGCAAGCCGTTAGTGGGGGATTAAGTCATGTTAGAGATTCGTTTTTGTTTGTATAACTGTTTCTGCTTTTTTGTCTCGTTGGAGGATGATGTCATTCGAATCTTCTTTTTCCTGTGTTAAAAAAAAAGTTATAATGGAATTACATTCAATTAAATAATTATTTACATTCAATTAAATAATCGTCTTCTTTTTGCTGTTGCTTGTATTGTACTTTTTAAATAATTATTACAAGTTAAATTAATATATTATTTTATTTAATTATATTATACTATATACTGATTTTTTTTATCGTTCAGGAGAAAATTGGAACATTTTAAAAAGACATCGTACAGTTTCTACGATAATACAAAAATTTTGAATCAATGAAAAATACATAAAATATCACATCGAGATATCAAATTCATAATTTCGAAAATAGAATTCTAATAAAAATTACCAGCAATAATGATTCTTTTCTATGACAGCATCAGTGTTTGATAATATATACACACACATACACATATATATATATATATATGTTTATTTTATTTTTTTAAATAAAATTTCATCATTAAATATAGGCATATCTCTTCTAGACATGTCTCTAGCCTTTCATAAAATGACTACATATCCGGTTTTAGACCGAGAGTATTCTTCTTTTTACTTTAAGGTAGCCGTTACATCAATAGTATGGTTATTAGCAATAAGATGTAGAAAAGAACGGAATATGGTGCTATATTATTATGTTGATTATTTTTTTATTCTTCAAAGAATCTTTGAATCTTTCCCTCTATGTTTGTTTGTCTCTAGAAACAGGTATAATTCCATTTAAAAATTTTCATTTTATACGCATAAAATATTTTCTACATACTTATATTTATAGATCAATAAAATTGACATGATTTAAAGTTTAATATTCCAAGCAAAATATTAATATCATCACGTACTTCTATATCTAATAAATCACTTTCTTTCCCAGTTTTAAAGAATTTCATATTTTTCGTGTCTCGTATCATTCCAATTTGTCCTTTCTTATTTTCAATTTAAACATTTTTAAACCAATTTCGATCAAATTCCATTTCTACTTATATAATTTCACATTACAAACGATTTAAATTGGATAGAAAAGATGAAGATTATCTTGCATAGCAAATCCAACATCGATCAATATTCCTATATAATCGTTAATTAACTCGTTCACCTAACACAATCATTAAGCGAAATCTCGATAAATCCTCCATAAAAAAAAAAAAAAATAACAATTAGATCACCTTTCGAAACAACAAAAGCTCGAGAATCGTTTGAGAAATGCAAGTTCACGGCCATTCCTCGTACCAAGACCTTGAGAAATCACACCTTGATTGACCTTCCTCATCGCGGAAGATCGAGTGGCAGCTAAAATCACGGATGTGGATTGATTTTCGCGAACGCGAGACATCATCGGGAAACGTGCACGTTACATAATAACTGTATGTATGGCACTGAAAGGAACTGGCTAGTAGTAGAAGGCTACTCTGACGAGGCAGAAACGAGAGACAGGTTCAATCGTCGAATTAGACGCGCTCTATCTTCGTCCACTCGGTAGATTCGTGCGGTGACTCGTTCGCAGACACGATTACTGCAATAATATGTCGTTACACCTACTTGGGTCAATGGCCCACTTCTCACGGGGGGATCGTGTAATGTATTGCTCATTTTTCATCCTGCCAGTCGTCAACGCGTACGCGACCCGATGAAACGTTACGCAATTCGTGCATCGACCGTCCACCTTCGAATAAATAATCACCGGTTGACGGATCAGCTATATAAATTGTTGTAGAATTTTTTTAAACTTTTGAATTTTTAACTTTTTTATATTTTCGAATAGTAGGATGTTCTTCAGGCATGATATAATTATTTGTTTGGCTAATCTATTTTAAAATTTTGAAAGTAAGGGGTATATATTGATAATTTTTATTCTTTGTCAATTTTATATTTAGAAATTATTTTTTTTCATAAATTTTTTATAGATTAAGAAAGATCAAGAGGATTTCTATATAATTAATTCCTATTTTTTAATAGGAATTTAAAATTTAAAATATTGTAATTAATCAATTCTTTCAATAACGTTAATTTTTTTCAAACAATACTATTATTCTTTTTCTTTAAATTACCCCTCCTCTTATTTCATAATTTCAATAAAATCTTCAATAAAAAGAATCGTATAAATTTATGAATATATCAAGAAAAAAAAAAAAAAAAAGAAAGAGAAAATAGCAAAAATCCCTTTTCGATTAAATTTACGATACAATTTAATTCCAAAGGAGTAACGTTTAATCGTTATTTACAAGTCCAATAACACAGATGGTCCAAGTCCATAACACGATGCCATATATTGATCTGTCACGGGCCACGGTTGAATATCAATTATTCCCGGGCATCGTATGAGATATTTGTTGTCTGCCGGACGTCTGACGTACAAAATGGCGGACGTAACATTCTTTGTCTGGTCTAGGGTTCCTAGTGCACGTGCAAGCCACGATCGGAGCAATCATCGTATCACTTGCTTGTGTAGTAGTAGTCTGTGTTGGCCGTACCACGTGGCTGTACTAGATTAATATTAAGTGATTCACGCTCCACGTAATGCGATCCATGTTGTTAGACACGATGCTTAGGCTACGTGCGAGTACTTTTATATGAAAGTCTGCACGATCCGCTGGATCTCATTGCCTGTTACATGCTGGTTAATGTTACATTGTTGTACATTGAGAGACATCTGTTTAGCGGGAGCAATTGAATTTATTAAGACACATTACGCAAATTGTAGTACAACGAACATTATACTAATGAGAATACGGAGCTGCGCCTTTATTATTAAAAAAATATATGAGGAATGTATCGATAATGTTCATTCCGAACGAAGAAGTTTCTTCGAAAAATTTTTAATGAGATTAATCTATTATTATTTTATTTTATTTTATTTTTTTTTTTTAATTCAATATATCAACATCGTGTAATCGTGTTTATGCGATTACACGTTAATTGGTGATTAATCGCTCGAACGTTGATTTATCGTGCATTTCTCAGCAGATTTTTTTTATTTTAGTTATATCATATTATCTTCTCAATTCTTGTTACATTACATCATATTATTCTGACGTATATGATTCTGACAAATTTTATTTTTTTTTATTTTTATAATGATTTTGATCATGACATATATGATGTTTTATTCCTGTTATCAGTATTTTATTTATTTCAAGTACAATTTATTTATTTCAATTCTTTCTATTATTTCTAAAAATTAAAAGTTATAATTTTTGTCTCAGAGATAATAATATTTTTATAAATTATACCGTATTTATACAAATATAAAATATCATTTTTATATTTGTATTAGAAATACTATTAAAAACTATTATTTTCATTGGTATTAATTCAAAAATTCATTAGAAAAATTATATTAATATCTTTTTTCAAGAAAGAGGATAAATGTGTTGTATTCTAATTGTCTTAAAAGTGTCTTCAGACACTTTTCCACCAAAATATTGCTTCATTAGAAATTTCCTTAAATTAAATATTTTATTATTTCTATCATTGTTTCTCAATTATGTGTGTGATTATGTCGAAATAACAGTGAGTATTTAAAATTTTTTTAAAACAAGAAAAAGAAAAGAAATTTATTATCGCATTTATAAGACGACAATTCCGCAAAGTAGATCACAAAGTATCAATAAATAAGATTGTCGATGAATAAATAGATACACTTCTTAAATCAAACACTACATTTCACTTGTCATTTCGTAAAGAGATATCAAGGTAATCGTGTCGGTTCTATGCACGTTTCCGTACTATAATCAGCACCTACATTGTGTCAATGCTATACACCAGGTTGAATGACCAATGACCCTCGTACATAAGATATTGCATAACATTACGTTCAGTTTCTTAGTCATTACGTATCAAACGATACGGTAAATCGCAGTGACTCGTTGCCTTTGACATTTAAATCATTCACTATGTACATAACAGCAATCGTATTTCCGCCGCGGAAAAATAAGCGAAAGAAAAGTTCATCTAGACCATTCTAGATTATTACACACTATTTATAATGATGATTGCATTTCTCTCTCGTTTCCACGAATTCTAAACTTCTCCGGAAGTTGATAGTCAAATGGATTTATTTTATATTTTTACTTGTCTCGTTA